GGTAACGAACTCATGCTTTGCTCACTATAGATACAGGTGGACAGATAAAGAAATGATGGTAGACACATGTATATACACAGGTTAGTATACAGACATACTTCCTGGTTCTCTGTCAGCTGAAGAGTCTACAAGTAATGACGCTTCAGCAGCAACGAGCACACCTAGAGCCAGATCTTGTTTTCTAATAACATTTCCCAATAAAAGGAGCCACGGCAGATTCTAGGACTGGGCCAGGAAATACACAAGATGAGGCCAGAGCATCTTGTAGTATCAGAAAGCAAGGTAGTGCTTTAAAAAACACAAAAACCACCACCACATGCCCACAATGATGGGGGTTTGTCAAAAAAACACAGGAACCATATCAAAGAACTCCCAGGAGACAAAGCAGAACAATCTGAGCAACAAATTGTGTAAGATGTAACTCAAAGTATAAAATATCGATGAGTCCCAATTAATAAATGACTGAATAAATAGCTTAGGGAGAACAGACAATTCTCTGGTACGGAAGTCCAAATTTACGTAGATATACTTAAGTGTGGCTGTGCACAGTAGCTTCCTTCGAAGGAGCACAGTATGGAAAGGGAGAAAGCGTAACTCTACAGTGGACGAAAGTGACCAATATGACCTCAGCCAGCTGATCAAGGTCAACGCCCACAATGATAAGTCAGGTTCATCATATGTACCCTTGATACATAATGAGAATGCATTTCACCTATGATCTTCCTCTCAAAAACCCACGGACACTAGTGTAATCATGAAAAAAGCTAAAGAAATCTGAATACAGTATGGACTTCAGTTAATAGATATGTATCAATATTTGTTCATTAGTTATGACAAATGTACCAGACTAACGTAACATATTACCAGGAGAAATTAAGTGTGTATTAATAGGAGAAAACAGATCTACCTGTACTATCTTCACAATTACTCTGTAAATCTAAAACTACTCTATAATAAATTTTTTTTTTTTTAAAAAGAGGGCAACTGTTCATATACATTTCCACAGAAAAACAGCTGTGAAAACAAACCAACCACAATCTTCCACCTGGTACCTGATTTTATCTGTACATCTGGTACAATTAAACTGTTTTGATTTTTCCACTTCAAATATTCGATCTTACTAAGCTGTCTTTGCATAAAACAAAACCCATTCTATAATGAAAGGTACTCCGCCACTTAGGACAGGAAGAGAGGAAATGGAAATAGACTGGACAATACATGCAACTTACAGTAGCAGTTCTCTGCTCGTCAAACCTGGACAGTTTCTGAAGTTCTCTATAGACAGCTCCGAGAGGCGCATATTCTAGAATTAGGTAAACTCTGGTGGCATCATGGAAATACCCATACAGTCTGAGAATATTAGGATGCCTGCAACAGAGGATGAACACTCTGACACCTGGTTTCAAAGCAGATACAACAATATGTACTGAACACCAAAAAAACCATCATGTGAAAACCAGTGGTGAAAGCTGGTTCTGGTCACAGGACCCTCCCCACCGCCGCCCACTTGGGAATCTGAAACTACAGGCCCACTCTAAGGAAAATACATACATCTGCGTATCAGTTTACATGCATTTCAAGGTATTGATGGACCTCAGGTTTAGTTAACACTATTATTTCCTTCCTTTAGGCCATCTTTATTCGTAGAGGGAAAAACCCAGCTAAATATTAATTCCTTGCAAATTTAAAAAAGAGACAGGCACTCCCATAGCAGCTGGAGACCCCAACACTGTGAGAAGACAACTGAAAAACAGTGTCCAAGGATGGCAGATGTGCGCTGCTGAGGACGTCGGGCAGCTGAGCGACAGCACATCTGTGCCACCAGCCCTAGGGATACAGGCATGATACAGACAGATTTTTAAGTATTAGCAACTGATGAGTTTGAAAAAACATGTAAAGCCAAAAAAAAAGCACCCACTGGCCAAGGCTAAGCTGAAGGCTGCAACCTCTGCTTAGAACCCAGAATAAAAGGCATCGTTCCCTTTCATTCTCCCCCCAAAAAACAAAATGTGCTCATATAAATCACTCCATTAACATGTGATTTTCCAAGACCACAGCACTGATGTCCAGATAAATCTTTGAAAAAGGACAAACTTAATCACTCTTTGCAGGAAGGACTATGACGCAGGTCTTTTAAAAAGAAGTTTATCATCCTTTACTGCTTAATGCCTTCAGTTCTGTACATAAGTTCTTGAATATCAGCCTGCAAACTTACCTAAGGTGGGACTGAATTTCTACTTCTCGTCTCAGCTGATGCTCAACTCCTGCCTTCTCCAGCTGAGCTTTAAATAATACTTTCAGAGCCAGGATAAACTTGCTTTGTTTTTCTCTCGCCAAATAAACATTCCCGAACTTTCCTTTACCCAGCGGACGACCAATTTCAAAATCTTCCAAAGCCCACTGCCTTCTAGGAAAGAATTTGATCATTTTAAAATGTAAAGAAAACACATCTTTTCTAACAATAAGTCGTAGACACACCCTATAATTTTNCAAGAATATGGGGCCGTCGGCGTGTCTTTGCACATCGGGATCTCATTAGTCTCCCTGGGCATATTTTACATGGTTGTTTCAAGGTAAGACTGTTGACAGTAACAAGTGTTTGGGTTTTACTGTCATGTAAGATTCTTTGTGAATAACAGCTTTCTGTCCTGCGATGTTTTATTCATCTAGCTACTGGCATCACATTTTAAAAAATACCGTTTAACTCTCAGAGCCAAATCGATGTCTTAATTCCGTCCCTTGCTGTCATAACCTTCTTTTCCTTTTTTCTTTGGGCCTCGTTTCGCTGCAGTGGCGTGGACATGTCTGCCATCCTGCTGAAGCTCGGATTTCAAGAGTCGCTGGTGCAGTCCAAAGTGGCCGCGGGCACCAGCACCTTTGTGGTGGCCTACGCCATCCACAAGCTGTTCGCACCAGTGAGAATCAGTATCACCTTAGCTTCCGTGCCCTTTATTGTCAGGTATTTTCGGAAAGTGGGATTTTTTAAACCTCCAGCTGCAAAGCCTTAACGAACTCTTCAGTGGTGGGCCTGAAAAACTCCTTCTTTTCAGTTACACATGTTTTATTGGTTTTAGGGGTGTAGGGGCCTTGTTTTGGTGGGGGGCAAAGAGCAGGGGATAATCGCTATGTTGTTATCGATAAGTTTTGCTTTTGCTAGCAAAATTCAGGTCTTTGAATAATTTTGTTGCTTTATACATTTTGTTAGTGTTTTCATCATGGGGCTTGTGTGCATATTCTAAAATGTCAGTAAAACATCACAAAT